TCCCGAGGACTGAAAGGGAATCCCACTTTGATATGTAAACCAAAAACTGATGATGAACACCAGTGTAGTTCATAAAAATCCAGCAAGTCAGCAAGACTGGAATAGGTAAAGAAGCTAGTTTAAGGAAAGAAAGTATAATCATCTCGACATGAATTTTGACTTGTTGCAACAGAATATCACCTTCTGGGGTAACGTAAACTTTATTGCTTTCTTCCTCAGGAAGGTCACATCCATACCTAGCCTTCCAGGTAAGTCACATTTTCCTCTTCCAACATAGCAAAATTCCTCAGTCCATGTTCAAGAGAAGGTCATCAGCAAGAAAATAATTTTGAAGCTCTCTGAGCACAATAGGACCAAAAGAAAATTGTTTTTTACTTTCTGAACGTGCTACCCTGTTAAAAGGACACAGAGCCTAGCCTTGCTATCAGTGACAAGGCAAATGGTGCTGCTACTTACGACTAAAAATTTAGTTTCTAGGGATCTCAAGTAAACTCCTCCTCTCACTCCTCCTTCTACAATCTGGTGACTACTACTTAAAACTGGCTACAAATTTAGACTTTGTAATGCCAAAAAAATAAACTTAAGAAGGCAGGAAGCCAAGGAAACCTTCCTAACCAGTAGACACATTTACATTCCTTTTATATTTCTATACAATCTACTTCTATCAGAAGACTGTACTGAGGTTGGACAGGTTGCTATTAAGACTTGCCATTTGTAAAAATGTTCCTCTCACAGAAGTTAAAGTGAAATCTTTAAAGAAAAGGACAAGTTTAGTAGAGAATATAGGCCTTAAAAGCTCAGAGCTGGTCTAGGCTGGGCTGGCTTATGTAGAATCCACTTCCAGGCAACTCCAGCCAGGCGGCAGATGGACCCACAGAACATTTAGTCTACATGTCACTCCACATGGCTGGCCTCAGCTTCACCAAGCGAGCAGAAATCAAGAGAATTAGAATTTGTTTCTTAAAGCATTATTTTTCCAGCCAGGCTTCAGCCTATTAGAGCTAATCCTTTTCCACCTTTTACATTGCCTAGCAAAACAGTTGCTAGGCGAGTTGGTGATAATAAGCATCAGCCTACAGCAAGCTCCAGAGAATCACTTTGTTACACGTGCTTGTATTTTACCTTGTGATATACTTTAATCATACTGTTAAACTAACACAATGTCTAATTATTAGCTACACAAATCACTCATCTTCAATTACATCAGGCTTCTGTTTGCTCTTGCTGTCACATTCCCATGACTATACCATTATTAAAATTTAAACTCACACTTACTAACTAAAACCAAATGAATAAAAAAGCAAGCCAAAACTACCAACTACAACAGAGCTTTCAAGACTCTGTTTCCTACTTGCATTTCTGTGAAGTTAAAAAAGAAAAATTCTCAACAGACTCATCACTTACCATTGGAAAACAAATGGTAATTTTCCATCAAATAAAATGATTTTACAATAACACAGTTCTCTACACTACTCTGTCCTGGTTCTGGCTGGGACACAGTTAATTTTCTTCTCCGTAGCTGGGGGGAGTGCGTGCTGTGTTTTGGGTTTGGTATGAGAGGAGCATTGATGGCCCATTGATGCTTTGGTTATTGCTGGGTGGTGCTTGCACAGGGGACTTTTCGGCCTCCCATGCTCTGCCAAGTGCAGGGGAAGCTGGGGGAGTGGAGCATAGCTGGGGCAGTTGACCCAGCTGGCCAATGGGGTATGCCATACCATGTGACGTCATGTTCAGTATAAAAACTAGGGGGAGGCTCTCACGCATTCGGGACATGCGGTCAGTGAGCAGTTGCATTGTGCATCGCCTGCTTTGTATATTCTGCTGTTGTTGTTGTTATCATGGTTATTATTACCACTTTGTTTTATTTCCATTATTAAACTGTTTTTTTCTCAACCCACAAGTTTTTCTACTTGTGCCCTCCTGAGGTGGGGGGAATGGGGGTGGGGTGGCTGGGTGGTGGAATGGGCGAGCGGCTGCGTGGTGTTTAGTTGCTGGCTGAGGTTAAACCACGACATACTCTCAACCCAGATACTTTAGCACTGCATCAACGTGCAAATTCCACTAAGTAAAAACTGCATCAACGTGCAAATTCCACTAAGTAAAAACGACCAATTCTCTAGCTTTCACTAATCTGTGCAGATTACTTGATTTGCAGATAATGTGTCCTTCAGGGAGGGGTAGGTGGCTCCATGGGGGCCAAATGAAATATAGTAAGGATTGTTAGTTCATTTTGAGTGTATTTAAGTGGCAAGTTAAAATACCGCACCTCTGGAGATTTTCCCTTTTGCCTTTGGTAATCACAATCTGTTCAAGGAGCTCTTGCCCACAATTGGCTTCTTTAATTGTAGCTGCTTTGATGGCATATCCTTCATCAGGCCCTTTGCCCTTCCTCCCCCACGCGCAGAAGATACTGAGCATTTGGAATTGGGTTACAGCTCTGTTAACCTCCACACCACATGAGCCAACTCTCAAGACTGTTTTGCCAACACCTTTCAGAACAAGTAAGGATAGCTAACTTTGGGAAGATGCAAAAAGCCAGGTCTTCAGCCTCTTTAAAGTCCACACAGAAGACGACCTTACACAGGGTGAAATTTCATCTGGATGCTTTCCCAAGGATCAAATAGGAGGAAAGAATACAATCCTCTCCTTATCGTACTCTCGGAAATTAAGCATGTGTCCAGGGTTGCCCAGGCTAATACAGTGCTAGAAATCTAACATCCCTCAGTCCCAGTTTAGCTTCTTTGTCATACTCCTCCCTACTTTCTGTTCCTGCCAAATCACCTGAAACGTTCTAGCTGTGATTTTCTGCCAAAATATAATTTCTCCCAACAGCCTGAGGGATATCAAACATTTAAGAAATGCCTGTTTCTAAAGATAGAGCTGATCTAATTTCTTGGAAGTCTTCCTAATGATACTTTGAAGTGCTATAAGCCAAACTCGGAAATTATGGCTAAGCAGCTTTTGAACAAGCACGCTTTTGAGCAGTTTTAGAGCATATTATCTTGTTATTAATAACACTTTCCATTCAGCTTCCCAATCACAATGGAATGTGCTTTAATTTTGTGTGGAACTGATACACTGGTGTGCTTTATTCAAGAGTTTTACTTCTGCGAGCTGATTTAAAGTTTCAGCTCCTTCTGTAGGAATATCTGCAATATCATGCTTCTTCTAACGCAGACCCTCACAGCTACTGACACAGGAACCAATTAGTGAAAGACAGACACAGCAAGATTTCAGCAGCACCAGCATTGCGTTCACATCAATTAAATACTTCTTACAGTTCAATAAAACTGTCATTTATCTCCAAAGTACATATACTGCAGTCTCCCCAGTAGCATTTCAGTGTACGCTTCCATAGAGTTCCTTCCTAATTTGTACATCTGTCCAGATTTCCTAGGGAACAGGTTTCAAGATGGTGAGAAAGACACCTGCAGTATTTCCAAGTCTCACAGGAGATTTCTTTCTTCCCAGGAAGAATTAGTTTCAACCTAATCAATCTTAGAAAAAAATCATTAAAATAGTCACTGTCTGAGAATAAATAAGGACAAAACTTTTCAAGAGACACCAAAACTTTAAAGTTTTCCTTGCTTACATCTTAACCTCCAACAAACTGCCTTCCTTCAGTGAACCCAGCTGTCTTTCTCTGTAAGTAATGGGGAAGGTAAGGGTGTCAGCACCTTATACATAATAGTCAGCACCGTGTATCAGTTGGATCTGTGATTCTACATGAACCACTGCTAGCCTGGCTCCTAAGATCAAAGTATTCTCTGCCTGACTGTGCAACGAGAGAGAATTTAAAGGAAAGCAATAGTATAAGAACACAGAATAATTCAGGTACAAAACATTTCCCTGGCAACATTAGAAAATAAATCACATAAATAATAATGGCAAAATATACCATTCTTCAAAGGAAACACACCTGAAGGGAATGAAGTAACCAGGTATTTTTACAAACGGTGCTTCAGCAGTGACTGCACAATAAGCCTAATGCTGGTATTTTTTAAATCTTTGATGCACACATATTAATTATACATTCAGGACCGAAGCGTTGGCAGAGTCCTTGTTGTATTTGCAGCCTACGTGCATCCCCAAGAGCCAGCAAGATAAAAGACATACTCATGCAATGTTCAAACTTCTTATGAGGCAAACTATCCCTTAATGAAATCCATTCTTTCTAGGGCACAGATTTCCAAAAAGACAAAGGACGCCAGTGCTCATGACACAGATTGTAGATGCATCTTACAGTCTAAGGGCCAGGGCAGCAGGAGGTGAAGTATGCCTGCATCTTCTCTAAAACAGCATAAGCCCGAGCACACACAAAAAGTAAACAAAGAACAACAGAGTATTCTCTTAAAGCTGACTTGTAAGAAACAGCTAAAACAACACTCTTTAAATAAGCATATGCTACCAGATTAAGCATATGCTACCAGATAAACCTTTTATGCTTAAAGCCAGAATACGTCATAACTGAGCCCTTTATTAAGCTGAGTCTCCTGCTACAGCTAACACAAAGGTGTTCAGATGCATCCTTGTCTGATTTTCAGCAGGTTCTTCTCCCACCTCTTTCATCCTCAGATCTTGACACATTGAACACTGGGGACTTTGATACCCAGAAAAAAAATCAACTACGGAGCTCACATCCAACTCTAGCAAACCACATAAGAGGATCAAACATACTACATGAAACAGTATGTGAGGAGAATGATTATGTCCCATCAATGAAATGGAGACACAGAAGTTTAAGCACCTTGCTGTAGACTACCCAGTGACCCAGTTTGTGAACAAAGACCACCACTCAGGAGTTCTAAAATTGGATGTTTTGCTCTAACTACTCAGTTATTCTCATTCCCCACCTGTAACAGAAGATATCTCCTGGGGACAAAGCGCTTCCTCTCCCTGAGGGAACCACTTCCAGGAGCGATGCTGGCCATTTTCATTGCCAGGTAGCTAGTGATGAAATGACTGATCACCATGAAGGAGAATGATGAGGAGACTCATACCTGTCCAGTATATCTGGGAGAGGTAAGATCATCCACTGCCATATTCCCAAACCTTCGCTGTTATCTGAATGCCAGAATGTCCGGCTCTGTTCCTTTCCTGTCTTGTTCTCGACCAGCACCAGGGATATATTTCCCAGCAAAACACCATGGATGAGCCATGACATTCGTAGCTGGAAGAAAGAGAACATACGAGATTAAACATCACAAACATTATACAAAAGTTAACAGAAGTCCCAACTCTTCTTTCATTTCTTTGTTTTCTAATCACCAAAAAGTTGATTCTCCCTCCCTTATGCTCATGTAATCCCTTTAGAAAACTCCACAGATGTGGAGGTCTGTAATACTTAGTATATGCTATTTAATATTGGAACTACTGGCCTTTCTTTTTGGTAAAGTTGAGTCCAAACCATCTCTGTTTTAGCTTTCACATATGTGTCTGTAATTTTAAATGGATAAGCTAATACCTCTATTATCTGCAGTACCCAGATCACACTCCCCTAAGATGCCATCTAAGAGATTCAAGTTAAGACTCACAACTTTTTCAGCAAAACACTTTTATATTCTGGCAGCAGCAAAAACACAGGGAGAATAGCTGCAATAAGCAGGCATCACTACTAATCACATCCGCATCCCCCAGATACTCTTCAAAAATCAGTTTTTCCTTACCTCATTCCAAGCATCTACAGACTTTCCAGTTAAAGTTCAGTAATAATTAGGGTTTTTATTAATTAAAATACCTTAGAGAACTGGTTTTCTAACATTTTGGTTACGTTTAATTGAGTCCATTTCTAGGCATTTATCCCTGTACGTAAAATTATTTCATGTAGTTTTCTCATTTTATGACTTCCTCTCCCTCATTGTATGAAAAGAAAAACAATCCCTTCTACATCAGTCTAGTCTCAGAATCCGTATTATATGAATATAGTCTTCTAATTTTCTTGGGAAAAAGAAGAAGAGCTAACTCTTTGTTGATAAAGAACATAAGTAAAATACACATATGTATTACATGCAGGAGCTGGGTCTCATCTCAATAACCAGTAGAGGTGAGAATGCTGAAGAAACGAGTTTATTAAAGCTACATTAATGATGGATTTTTGGACACAAGAAAGTGTTCAGCACAGTTATCTAGCATCCATGCATGTTAAAAAACAGCCCTCTGGTTTTTAACACTTCAAAGTTAACACCTAAGTCAGGAGGCTACGAATTAAATTTATATTTTACATGGCGATATGTGATAACATTACTTACTTTCTTGCTTTGATAACACAGAATATTCATATCCATTTCTCAGCATAAAACACAACTGCTAGATTTTGTTTGCTGTTTCTATCTCATGGTGTAAGTCTGTCCTGGCAGACAAGTCAGATTTAGGGGTTGAAAGGACTGAAGTATTGCTATTATTCCTAGCTTACGTTCACAATTTTGGGTTGGGTGAAACAAAATTCTGGGTACCCATTATATTAATTATCAGTACTGAATTTAGGTAAACAGTGCCTGACTCCAGTTCACCTGCCTGACTCCAAAGTTACAACAGCAATGACTTTGACTACATTGCAAAACTATAACAGAGACCAAAAAATCTAGATGTGGTTCTTCTCTCTCTCCAGTCCAAGAATCACTGCACTCGCCTGGAATCTCTCCTGGGTCTGTTGAACTGCTAGTGTGTATGACACAAGCATTGATAAGGTGTATAAACTGATATGCAGGTATGGGTCCGTGAATCCATCTCATTGCCTCATTTTGACCACAGATGTTCAAGACTGATGCATAGGTTTTCAGTACTTCAGCAAACCATCACTGGGGCCTTCCAGTGATGACTACCAGCTCACTCTCACCCTAAGTTTGGGAAAGGACTTGTGGAGTCCCATGTCTTTTTCCATAACATCAGACAATGGAAATCATAGGATGAATTGTGAGGATTTTCACCAGAGAGAAAAAGCAGAGTTGAGTAGGACTGCAAAGAAGTGCTTCAGACACAACACAAAGTGATGGCCAGGGAGGTAGCTGGGGGAGGGCTGAGTTCATACCCACAAGTTCACCAGAACCAACACTGGTGGAAGAGGTGACATAGCTTTATGGTGTAGGAGGCTGATGCCTTCAAACTTGGTATCTGCATGGCTACTCCTAACTCTTAGTGCATACATGGTCTTAATGTCAGGTCACAATCAAGATTAAATAACCTGTTGGGCATTTTATACTTTCAAGTGCCTATGAAGTGAGACTACTGAAATTATGGTGAAGATTGCTCTTCCTCAAATATCATTAGAATACCTTTTAGACCCACTTAAGTAATTTCCCTTGAGAAAACTGATCAGGACTAAATTTTTTTTTTTTTTTTTAATTATAACTTTGGAATGCCAGTGGACATTTAAGTAAGCAACTCCCCTTACTAAGAGTTCATATGTAAAGCACTTTTAGGACCCTAATGCCAACTCTACTGTAATGCACTATGTGAAATTTCTAATACAGGTAAGTTGGAGCAACTTCACTGTGCCATTTTGACAGTTCAAAATTTGAGAGGTAAAGCCCTGAAGCTCCTACTATGCAGGAGCTTTCAGATCTCTGTCTCTTCTGGAGACCTGCCAGACAGTAAGAGGCAACATCTACATGGTCAGAAGTGCGAAAAGAGTGAGCCTTTGACAGCTATTAACGTAACACTAGAGCAAAAGCTGAAGCAATTGATGAATTGGAATGGATGTCTTTGCACACATGTCAGCTGTTTGAAGGAAAGACGTAGTTGGCATTAGATGTGAGAGATCAGCTCGCTGGCAAAGTGCAATATGCAGACTCTAATGAACTGGCTCTGAGTGAATCAACTGGCACTGTGTCCAAATGGGCATTTTTGGCTGTGATTTCCATGGTTTCTAAGCTTCACAGCAGGGCAGTCCAGGTCTTTTCACACCTGCTGAAGTGAACCAGAGCAGATGATGAGCTGGATGCTATAGTAAAGACTTCCGAATGGGGCTGGCATCCATTCTACAGAATATGGCATCAATGATGGCAGATGGTTCTACATACACGATGCGTCCTGTAAGTACTGCAGTGGCACGTTTGGAAAAATCTGAATCTGACATGTTGGTGGCATACCCTAACATTATATTTCAAACATCTCCCTCTGTGTTAAACCAGTAGCAAAATATTCAGAAGCTAGAAACATCACTGAGAAATTAATTAAGCATCGCAGGTAGGCATTGGCTCAACGGCACCTTGCTTTCCAGCTTTAGAACCCACCGTAGCTGGTGATTAGCTGTTCATATGCAAACCCACTGACTCAGTAAATGAAATGCTCTAAACTGATTTGGAGAAAATTAAAGAGAGAGAGAGCCCATGGTAAACACACAGCCTATTGAGGCAAAACTTAGGTCAGATGGCCACATGCGCTGTACTGCAAACACCATCTGGAAAGATGCCTTCTGAGAATCCCCTTATCCTCCGATTTTGTGGAATTTCTGAACTGACAAACAGGAGACTCAAATCATCCAAGAAAGAACAAAAAACTAATCCTCATCAATATAAACAGGGCTTGGCAGGTTTAACAGAGAGGTGAAGAAAAACAAGGAAGGTAGATTTTCTAGCACAAGTTGCATAATTTCAAGACCACCTGAGAATGGAGACTTGCATTTTACTTCCTTACGCACAAAAGAAAGAAAGCACCGAGAACCTTCTGAGTGAAGTTTGGGCCTGCTTACACCTGTGAGTCTACTTTAATGGCTAGAAACATTCCAGTATGAACCTCTGACTGAGGACCAATGACACACACTCACAGCAGCATAAATAAAACATTCCTCAGTGGCCCTCCAGAGAGTTGCTGTTTCTTTTTCCTCCCTTTCTGAGTGGCAATGCCCCTGACTATTAGCATTACTTTCCTACCTGGCAGGAAAAGCTAGTTGTCTGTTCTTTGGCACAAGTAACCAAAGAAAGAGGAAAAGATGCACATACTTCAAACCGGGCTTGGAGTAAGGTATTTTTAAGAAGATGGAGAAGAGCCTACAGGCATCCTGCTCCCAAGGAACTGCAGTAGTTGGATCCCACTGGTGGCTACCTTGCTACTCACACCCCAACTCTGCACCACAGGCTTACATCTTGTGAGACAGCACATTACTTAGTTCTCATGCCCCTAGTCCTTGCCCCCCACTTATAATACTTGCTCAAAGGAATTGCTCAAAATTTTCCGGACCAGGAACTGTGGATTCTTGAAATACAGACATTTATTTTTCTGAAAAACATAACTCTCGTCTTGGGTCTTCTTCACTGGACAGGAAACAGTAGAAGTTGTTATCAGATGTGAATGCACTGACCCAGTAATATAAGTCAGGCGTTAAAGAAGCTTGGAAAACACCCTCATCGTTGAATAGAAACTGAAGCTGCAAGTTGGAATACGGTTTACACAGAATTAGACAATAGCTGCAGACACCTTTGCCAAGTCTCAGTAAGTTTTTTGTACATGAATATGAACTACATTTGAGACATGAAGTTTATAAAATGGGCAATATTGTTTTTCTTACTAGAAATGAGAAATGGTTGCACACAACAGTACAAGCAAAGGCATCTATTAGGACTGCTCAGCAATTTAGACTTGGACTCTTATGAATACGAAAGATGACCAAAAGGTCTTGTTCCTGTTTTTTGGCCACATCAACAACTGCATGATCAGTCTCTCTTGTAGTCTGCTGACACTTCTGCTTTTGCTTAGGACTCAGATGTGCAAGCAAAAACCTTATGTAAATGATAATTAACTGATCCTGTAGCTTTAAAATACCTAGGCAGGCAAGAGAAGCTTGTATTTTATATGAACAGATTCTCATGCTATTAATCTCACATTATTTTTTACTTATGTTTACTTTTATAAAATCAAGAACCTAACAAAAGCACCTTCATTTCAGGAAACAAACAAACATAAAAATAAAGACGACAACGAAAGAGAAAGAAAGAGTTCATAATTTTGCTGCCAGAGTACTGTGGAGTGACCAGGCCTTCAGGAAATTTCAGATATTATAGATCCTCCAATCCAATGACACAGAAGCCAGGTGGCAAAGGAAGCAAGAAAAGATAATGACAGATAACACTGAATAAGCTGTACAGATTTTAAAAACAACACTTTAAAATAAAAAAAGGATGCTAACAACATTCTGCAAAATAAAGCACACGGAATGCTGTGCTAGAGGCATAT